TTTAAGAACGGAACTTAAGTTTTGTGCATAACTTGAAAACTTCAGTTGGGCAATAAAACAGTTCCTTGCTAACTAACTTCTGGAAGATTGGTCTCTTCCTAAAACGTTAGCTTTTGAGACTGATGCCTTAACATATACAAACTATACCGAGCTCTAAAACTGCATAAAAATGTTATAAAATGTGCTAAAATACAATTGCCGCCCATTTACCACTGCTTACATTCTGTATCGATATCTCAGCAGCGCATTTTTAGCTTCGTGAAGGAGATTAACGAGCTGGAGGCTTTGCTCAAGACTTTTTTTATATAAAATATTAACCAATTCCGTGCTCAGACAAGACGTATGACATCTTCTGTATTTCCTTCATAACCTGCGCTTCAGAAACTACAGCATCATGTGTAAAACTATAGCGCCATGCTAAGTATCATTTGTACTATCAATGCTGAAAGAATAGGATAATGTTTGTCGAAGACGAATTTTTGGTTTGTTTTATTAACAAGTGTCTTTGATAATTCATGATTTTGCTTTGTTCTACAAGCAGTTTTCTGTATTATTAGCTAAAGTGCTCTACACCTGTCAGATGTCAAAAGTCTTCATATTAACAACCAGTTTAGCACATTATGTATAGTCCAAGATCTAAAAATCTTATATGCGGTTAGTAGACAATTATTTGCTCAGCTGGTGACAAAAGGTCTGCAAACGTTGAACTCCTAGCATTTTAAAAAAAGGCAAATGCAAAAATGCGCATCTAAAAATATACAGGTGATAAAAATAGCTGCTTAAATGCTGTTATAAGTAAACGTGTAGATTGCAACAAAACTTTAGCTGATTGATTTTCGAATTCCAGAATGCTATTTTCAGAGACCCCAGATTGATTTCTTTGGGTTCTTAATTTCGGCAAAGCATACTAGAGATAACGGGAGGAATGCCTTTGTGGAGGAGTTTCCAAGGTGAATTGCCTCTGATTTCCGTTCCACTTTGGTAAAATCCACGAAACGCCCATGCAGCCAGCCCGTTCGCTTGGAATCGAAACCAGGTCGAACTACCAATGTTCAGCGACTTTACTACGCTGCCGTTCATGGGTCAGTCCCCGGAGTGATTCTCGGAACGAAATTTAAGATATCGAATCGCATGAGGAACCTTAATTTACAAGTTTCATTCATTTATATATTTTAGTTACATTTATTTTTGTCTGTATACGTGCCACTTTAAATGCTTATGCAAGAAAACACAACCGATGCCACTCAACCGGGATAGTGGTGAGTAATTGACTACCGTACGGAAGGGCTTGGGTTCGATATCCGGAGAAGGTATGGATGTATGTATAGTGTCTGTGCGGTTAGGGAGCACTCTAAATATACGGCGAGCCGTATATTTAGAGTGCTCCCTAGAAGTTAGAAGTCCTCTCTAGAAGTTAGATGTAAGGGAAGAGGGGATTTCTCGAGATTTTTCGAGTCCGAGGACTGGAGGGACCCTCGGACTCGTCCCTCCAGTGCACCGTCTCAAAAATTGGGTGTGGAATTCGGCTAAGTCGAGCTGTCACCTATATGATAATCAATTCTCTTGCTAAGGATAGGCCAAATTAACTTCTTGTCACAATGAATGTCTTGGGATTGTGCTGACCATTATCAGACAAGCGAGACTGATATCAACAACCTATACTTATCAGTAAGAAATTGTTTAACTCTAAAAGGCAAAGATGATATTTAAGGTATGGTAAACGTGATTAATTGTCAGCGAATTTCTGTAAAGCTCTCGTAAGAAGACCATGCATACTGCTGTACCTCGCTATGCAAACGACATACATTTTATGTGAAATAACGCTATTTCGGGATTAAATGTACATTACAATAGAGTAAAGAAAAGATTTTTTACAATATACATACCACTTTAAAAATTACCCGAGATCGTTAAAGTCCAATTTGCACCAAAATGTAAATACATTTTACATTATATTACATATTTAATGGAATAAAGGCATCAGTTAGCCAGAGGATTTCAACTCGGATTGAGAAACTATAGGTACCAAATGTAAATTTAACTGCAACAACTGTTTTCAGATTACAAGCAACTAAATCACTAACTTAAGCAATCAATTTGATGAAATTATGTCGGTGACATTTCAAGGGTTTCGATGAATTAAAGAAATTGGACCAATACATGAGAAACTAACAAATAATTACAAATAAGGTTCGCTCAAGAAGTACGCGAAGTTATAAATTATAGCTGCAAAATTGATGTAAATTGACAGCTGAAAACTTACATGTGTAAAGTTGCCAAAACACCTACTTTAGCAACTTTTCGAAATTCCAAAATGCTGCAGATCACATTTGCCAAACCTTAAATTTAATAAGATTATTTATAGATGCTTTAAGTGATATTGGTTGGTGGGTTGACTTTTAATGGCACAAATTTAAATGATATTGTTCAAGTGTACAAATTCAATCGTGTTTCTTTGAAACTAGTCTAACTATTAAGTGATATTGTTAAGTTCAGTATTAGCAGAACTTCGTTGTTAGTTATTTCTTAAACACTGGAACTAATATGTTTCCAAAGCAATCCAAGTTGCTGGGCAAATTTGATGAACAAATTGTTGCTCCAATTAAATCACGTCACTAGCGAGCCCTTTCCTTTCTTATAGTTAGGGCACAGATTTGAATGGCAGAATTATTAACTCCAAGGAAGACCAAAATATTTAGCTTATAACTGCTGTAAAGAACATTGCTTTGACTTGTTTTAAGAATGTTTCAACGATTAATGCAATCATCTTTTACGATCTGTTTATGCAACAGTCACCTGCACAACTTGCGCAACATTCATCTGTAACTAAATTGAGAGAATTATTAATTTATTGTTAACTAAGATTAGTGCAAATCTCATCTTTTATGAGGTGTTTAAGCAACACTCACATACGTAACTAAGATCTAGAATTACGGTTCGATGATTTTCACGAGACATATTTTAAAGAAAAAGCTGCCTCTGGCTGCCAGACTGGACTAGTATTCGAAACATTCTTGAAAAGGATTACTTTGCTTGGTATAACCTCGTAGAACTTCCAATTTAAGCGTTGAAACTGGCAGTTTGTTCTGCTCTGTGAAACATGGCTCGAATAGTTGGTTTAAATGATTAAGAAATTGCAAAAGTTATTTTCCGATGCTAAGCACATTTATATGTGAATAAATTAAGCTAAGCCTGTGAATGTGATCTGCTCCCAGACACCATACATATAGGAACGAATTTAATTTATTGAAACTTACAGCATAAAACCGATCAATGAATGGTATTACTATAAAAGGCATTTCCAGCGAGATGTTATAGTGACTCTTGTGTTAAGTGGTTAAAAACATATGCACATACGGGAGTCGAAGTTACAAATATATTTGCATAATTTCTAATCTTTGTTTACTGCAGTAACGTATTGAAATATATTAAAATAGAGTGTTTGAAATGTTTATAATACGCCTTTTTTACAAAATGCGGCAGGAGTTTTATCTGAAATATTTACCAGATGTTGCGAACTATTTAGAAGCAGTTTCTTTATGCAATATGCAAATTAATCCTGACGTCTTCTGTAAGCGAAGTCAAGTAAATTTTCGAAACTGGATTGTAGGTAAGGGCCACAAAGACATGATAGCAAGTTGTTTACTTCTTCTGATCGTGTTAAAATGGGAGTTCATAAAGATATTTGTCATTTGGTGATTCAGTTATGAAATGATTAATTATTTTTGAAATAAACTGGTTAAATCGTAAATAAATCGAAGTGTACCGCTTTATTCAAAGATACCGTTAACTTCAAACTTGAGTTCAGAGATCGATCCAGAAAGACTTGCGAAACTAAACTGGTTGAATAAAAGAAACATGAGTAAGGTTAAAAATAATCCATGAATAAGTGCATTTTATAGTTAGCAGCTGATTTAAATATTGTTGGCAGCACTGAAGTGACACCTCAAACGGGAAGAAATATCAAATAAAACTGGTTACAATGAAACTGAGGTCCGTTAAGAAGTCTTTTTATAAGTAACAGCAAAAAGAGTCAAGTTTGAGATGTAAACATTTTTTGGGAGCAAGTCCTTTTTAGAGATAAAGTTTAATACGCATGGATCAGATGATCGAGTTATGGTTTGGAAAAGAAAACAAATCAGCAGATGCCAAAACTTTATGTGGAAGTGTCAAACATTGTGGCTGATGCATCCAGGTTGTAATTACATCTATTTTCCAGCGGTACAATGATTCTAAGACCTCAAAAGTTTGTTAAAAATGGTGCCTCAATCATGTTCAACAGAAACTTCATAGTAGACTTCTATCTTCCAGATTCTCCCATCAACACATGTACAGGAAGACATCGGTCGTGAACTTAAAACTATGGCATTAAAAACGAGGTTGAACTAAAATGTATCATTCAAGACATTTAGAGCAACATTTCGCTTAAAACAACCAAAAACTCGTGGGAGAGAAGACGCATCACAACGCTTGAAGTAACAAAGGCCAGAGGACAGCCTACTGACCATTCATTTTAACCAAGCTATATTAATCTTCCATAAATTATGTAAATTCAGTAAGGAAACTTTATTCCTCATTTGTACTATTTTTTTGTCTCTTAAAATTTGTTATTTAATCACCTTAATATTTTTTTCTTTATAATATAAATGTATTCATGTTATGTTGAACCGCTTTATTAAGTTTCATTTTCTTCACAAAAGATTTTGTGCGAAACTTATTTACGGTCATTGCTGCGCACAGAAATTTTACCCGCTGTACATTCTATATAAGATTTCCTTTAACAAATATCGATCCTTAATTTTCAGAAAGAATTTACGAAAACATACGAGTATCAAAAACATTGCAGGTATCGGATTGCATTTTGAAAACAGTCTTTGAAGCAATGAAGTTCTGAAATAAAATTATATTACTCGTAAATTTGAAGATAATAATGTATTAAAGTGAACAGATAACTAAACCAAACTGAATTCCTAACAATCTAATAAAGGAAGTTCACTTACCAGCTGCTTGCTGTGGTATGTAATAGCCACTTTGCGCATGTATATAACACAGGATCGTGGTCAAGACGGCATTTCGGAGCAACAAGCTGGCCATAGGATAAGTTGCTTAGTTTTCAGTATTAGAGCTTTGAGCTGAAAGAGAACATTTATTAAATCAAAAACAGATAGTATTTTTTCAGTTAGTTTTGTTAATCGTTTTCGGATAAAACATTAGAAAGACTCCATGGCTATTTCTAGGGAAATAGTTGTGAATTTTGTTTGCGCGGAATTTTTTGCTTAGTTTTCAGTATTAGAGCCTTGAGCTGAAAGAGAACATTTATTAAGTCAAAAACAGATAGTATTTTTTCAGTTAGTTTTGTAAATCGTTTTCGGATAAAACATTAGAAAGACTCCATGGCTATTTCTAGGGAAATAGTTGTGAATTTTGTTTGCGCGGAGATTACAAAATTTTGCTTAAGATGCTATCTGGAGAAGTGAAGTTGTTCAAGAAAGACGAATAGTTAAGGGGTTGATTCCTGAAGGTTCAGCCTTAGACTTACAACTACTTGATTTCCCGGTTAACAAAATGTACAAATATTTCAACACGAAATGGATAAATTAATATAATATTTTTACATTTGCTTGTCAAAATTAACATTTTGGAAAAAAGATTACCACAGAGGCATACAAATCTGCCCAATAATATTCAGGACAATTATGGAAGCAAATTGTGGATTATCCTGGTATTAATTTAATCTGGCAAAATACTGAAAATTATTATATCTAAGTTTCACTCAACTGACACCAATTCTATGTTAATTTCATCAAGTTTAGACAGCTTACGGCTAGTTTAATCTGAACTTCTGCTAATCAAGTTACTGGGAGAATACGGTCAACTTTTCCGATTCAGCGGGTGGAGATATTAATTTGGCTCTGTATGACGCTTCGCAATATGCTATCATAAGAAACTCATAAAAGACAAAGTTCTGACCTTTCTTACATGAGTTTGAACTCTGATGTTGAAGTTTTGTTGTAAACAATTCAATGACAATTATAATTTAGGTTTTCCATTTCCAGTCACATGTATTCTATTATTTAAATGGTCTTATGCTTTTAATATGTAACGAAATATACAAATTTTCCAGATTAACCCTTTGGGTACATCTGATGAGAGAGACTCGTGATCTGCTTACTTAAGCGAAGTTACTGTGGACGAGTCTCACTGTAATCAGTGTTGCAACTAAAATGCTGTTTCAAAAATATATTAATATCACCAATATAAGTATATTCCAAATAAAATGTATTACTTTTATATATTAATCCATATAGCAATAAATTAAATCCGTCCCCTGGGCAAAAATCTTCAAATAATTCAGTAAATAACTTGAATGTTCAAGTAAATTGGGTACTTTTCCGTTTCGCCGGCGCAATCTCGCCAAGCAGACTTTATTGGTGACAACATACAGTATACACATAAAAAATGCTAACAAATGTTAGTTCTAAGAATTTTGTATTTTGAAGACAAACATTTTAATATCGTTTAAAATTTTGTAAAAAGCCAATAAATAAAGACAATAAATTTGTAAAAAGACATTAATTTAAGAATTTACTATGCTTTCACAGTTCAACATCCCGATTCGCCGGTTCATATCACGTGATTCCAAGTGATCTCATTTCGCGTAAACTGCGCTACAAAAATCTAATTTTCTCAGTAATTATCTACATTAAGTTAAATCTTAATTTTGAATACAAGTTTAAATGCAAGAATTATTTCAATTCGTATGAATAGCTTACTCAGAAATTATGTAGAAGCGCAGTGCTTTACTTTGCTAGTGCATTCTCATTAGAACTGATGACCCTTTGCCTTTTCTATATTTTTGCCTTCGGGTGAGCGGTGGGATTGCATCCTAGTTGATTTAATTACCGCGAATGGGTCTTAGGGCATAAAATTGAACTATCTGGTAAAACTTATGTAATTTTATGCCAATATTGAAAGAAAAAAATCAATGTGATAAGAAATGACTGCGACTTGTTTTGAAAATGAAGCGTAAAAGGTTACCAGCGAGGTTATTCCGTTTGGCATCAGTTGTAGCACTGTTGGCGACTTTATCGCCTGCGCCGGCAAAACGGAAAAGTACCGTAAATTGTTAATAGTATTTTTTGTTTTTAACTCCTCGCATATTAACCATGATTCTGAATTAATCGAAGATGTCGCCATTGGTAAATCTGAAAATAATTGCATCATACGCCAACCTTAAATTTCTTCATCTTTAGCAGCTCATTTCAGATTTGCTAAAAAGTGGCGAAAAGGTAAAAATACGCTTGAAAATATGGCATGCGTTACGTTCATGCAAAAACATGCATATTAAAAAGAATATACATTGGCTCCATGTCTACTACCGGAACTGTATCTTAAGCAATTTTGAAAACATTCTATACCCCCTTACAGAACCTGATGCTTCGCCGACTGAAGAAAGCGTGTATAAAATGAATTTCATGTTAGACGATTCGAAACTGAAAGTTGCTTAGCTATCACGAATAATTAGAAAGCAAAAATTTAAATTCATTTTTGGAATATGCGATAGTTTAACATAACCTCCTAATTAACCCCAAATGTCTAATCTCATGTTAGTGCTACCGGGTATTGTAAAATCCGTATGTTTGGTTTTGGTTTATTTGATTATAGCAAAGCACTCTAGGGAAAACTATCTTGAGTGAGGAAGGCCTTCGTGGAGGACTTTCTAAGGACTTTCTTTTGCTCGTATACATGTTACACAGGGGGGAACTACAATATAGCCAGCTTGTTCACCAGGATTCGAACCCCGCACCGAACTACCAGTGTACAGCGAGTTTACCTTTCGGCCCCTAAAAGGCCATCTACGAGTATATGTTTGATTACATTCCTTAAAATTTTATCCTGAATTTTCTGCGATACCTTTCTTTCTTGGGTGCCGTGTTATGATACTTTCTTGGGTGCCGTGTCATGCGATTCCCCAATTACTAGTAGTTAGCAAGTTTTGAGGAGACAAGGGAAGGGATTTGAGCTCAGATTAATTTTAATAATAATGTTACGAATTTTGTATATATGTAAATAATTTGCGTGAAATCATATGTGAAATTGTAGTATCTTTTGTATAAGGTAATATGAAATGCTTGAAAGAGACGAAGCTATGTTGGAAAAATAAGGACACAGGCGAGGGCTACCGTTAAATTGCGACGATAGTTTCAGAAATTAATTTTTGTCGCCAAATTTAGCGAAAAATAGCCAAAAGTCGCCACACTTGGCAACCATTTGAAGACATTTTGATTCGGTATTTGTATAAGTATGATTGATAGGTATTCTAACTGAATAATTAATGAATCCCTGTATACAACTAAGCGTAGCCGTCCTCGTACGTCTTCCAGTAACTTCGAGACGTGAGAGCCAATACTAGAGCTTTCTCGGTGGTCGAAGGGAAGCTATAAGAATGGAGAGAGCATCAGTTTCTCAGAATTTATTTCAGGGAAAATTCACCATCATGAACCCATGGGGCACCATCTCAACTGAGCCGGAACACGTCGCTACAAATGTATGATATTCTCCGCTTACAGAGGAACTTGGAACAGTTTCCCAGTTTAGTGCAGTATGAGTTTGGAATATTGAGATACCTCCGTGTGAGCTTACCTATTTATATTCGCTTTGATTTGAATTGCGTTTAACTTTCTGAGTAGTTTGAAGTATAACTACTGACTGTACTCTGATACTGTGAAGAGCTGAACGGCCATTTTTGTGAAAAGTTCTAAAGCTGTTGCTTGGTAAAACATTTTGTCAAACTATCATTGTTCTTTGTGCGTTTAATCTATAACGAACCCGTACGCATGCAACAATAACTTAGCTACCATTATTGTACTTTGATTTGAATTTTGAGGAAATAGTTTATGGAATTTACTGAATAAATGGTATTAGATTTACTATTAAGGACATTTCTAATATCATTAAGATTCCAAGCTTCCCTTGCCAGTTTATTTCATGAAATAATCAGCGTTTTTTTATCAATGACTTTTCTTCTTACAAGAAACTCTTGGGAAGGAGCTCATGGAAAGAATCTTCAGTCGAGATTGTGTCGAACCAGGGATATTTAAAGCTATCAAAGCTACGCGTCAGTCATTTTGAATGTTGAAAATATTAAAACAGAAACAAAAATCTCGCATAAATTCGATCCTCTAAGAAATTCGTTTAGAGACAATAAGACGAGAATAAATATTTTCATTAAATGCCTATCACAGGAATAATACAAATTCTTTCCTCCTGAAATGTTCTTAAGACTATTTCATCCTCGTATGCGAATTTTCAGGCAAAAAATTACATTAACTGTTTGATTGGTGATAGTAAGCTTTCAATAAAATCTAATCAATACGAAATCAAAATGTTCATAAAATAACTTTTCCCCAAATTGTTTTAAAAATGTTATTTGTTATGGATTTAAAGTTACACATTCATGGTTATTATGCTCGATTGTTTACATTGTGAATTTTACCAACAGTGGGAAAAAAATGGCCGCTGTACTGCACGATTAAATCTACATAAAAATTCGAGATACTGATATGGAATTCAAATTCCCAAATTTCAATTTCTTGAGTTTCTTATTTCAATAACACCCTGAAGGCTGTTATTTACCCCCAATTTTAAATTATCGCGTAAACTATCAAAATGGAACAAAGCCACAGAAATCGTTTCTCCATCTGTCACCACCTGAGACACTTATCGTGGTAAGTGACGAACCCCGAACTCGAAGCACAAAGCGTTTGCACACACCATTACGCCAGCAAACACGAGAGAAATGAACATGTTCGAAATAAAGAGCCAAATGAGTCAACAAAATGGCTAATAAAGAAGTAAACAGAAATTGCTTCCGGTAGTTTCACGCTTTGCTTGCGATGGCCAAGTAATGCGTTCAGCTGGTGAAATTGAATTGCTTTCCTCCAGCTATTCAATGGGATTTTATCTGCTGACACTTCATGACAATCTTTACGGTCTGTGGCTTGTAGTCCTGCGTAAATGACAAGACAGCTTTTGTATTGGTATTCGAGATTCTTATAATGTAACGTTATAATGCTTTAACATGGCAATTATAATTCAGGCGACCAAACTTAATGTGTTAATTTTTAAAAGG